GGTAATTTTTCAAGCTTTTTGCTATTAAAAATACATTGAGTCTTTTAAGAAAACACAAATAGATCCTATACCTGATTAATTTGACTTAAAAATGTTTATGAATAGAGTGGTTAAATGTAATCTATTTTAGAAAACAGATTACTGAGAAACAAAGGTTGAACCCAAGAAAAATAAGGTGATGTCTGTTACTCCCCGAAACAATAAAAAGAAGTCTGATCGAGGATTCCAAATTTTAAAAATAATCAATGGCTGGTTCTCTATTGTATAAGAAATACTCAAGTTATAGGAAATTTCTCTTTCCCCTCATTTTGAGTTTCTCAAATTGCACATACTTAGATGGACATGGATGTCTCCAAAATATTTAATGAAATTCTCTTATCATTTTGCATTCAGTATAGTCTGCAGCTCTGCACGTGGAAAAATTACTAAAATTACTTTCGATAACAATCTAACTAGGTTTTTTTAACAATCCCCTAGGTTTTTGACTGCCTAACAGCAGACCATCTCTGCAGTGTTTCAACTGATCTGAGCTTTTTCATAACAGAAAAGAGATATTTTACATTTTTTTACTGATATTTTATCGAATTGAATGTTGGCTTCAGTGAATTGATCCACTGGTTTAATTGAAATGGTAAAACCAAGTGTGAGTGTAGGCAAAGCCACAGGAAATGCAAAAGCTGGAAGGGGCCAGGTCTCTGTTGCCTTCCTTTTATCCAAAAAGGTCTAAAGCAATGTGCCAAACTTTGGCTACCAGAAAGTGACTTTGCCTGTGCCTTTGGATAGAGCAACTCAATTTATTACTCTCCTAGTCAAAATGATGCGTAAAACATACAGCTTCTCTGTTGTGTTTCTAACATTTTTGTGGCATAGGGTGATTTTTACAATACACATGAAACTTTTATTGTACATCATAGTTTTTTGTATTCTGGAAGAAAAAAATCTTAAATTAATTTATTAAAATTCCACAGAGAAATTCTAGCTTAATGCGTAAAATCAAGTAGCCTGTGGACTGATCTTCAACTTGTATCTTTTATTACAGTGGTACTTTCTGGAACTAAATCTATCTTTGTATTTCTAACAGAGGAGAGCGATACC